AGGAATGCCATATATCAAATGTAAAATATACGAAGGGAGGAGGCTGAGAAAGGGAGCAGCAATGGAAGTACTGTCAGATTCATTTTCAAAAGCAATCTAGCCTTAAAAGGAAGGGGGGGCTCCTTAGTCAAAGATTAGGTGAGGTGGTCAGTAAACCAACCATCCACTTTCTAGATGTAAACAATAAGCTGCTAGAAATTAAATGAACAAAAATTACTTAAAAAAAAAAAATTAGCAAGGGGCTTGTCCTAGAGCCTAATGGTTAAGGGAGCCAGATTCCACACTGCTAGACATAGTTCGAATCCTGACTCCAGTGGCTTGGACAACATGCCAGGAATGTATACATGTGTACTCATACTCCAAAAGAGGGTGCTTTCTCTCCCCAACCCCATCCCCAACCCCATCTCTCTCTGGTAATGATACATGCACTCTGGCAATTATTTATATATATACATATATATTTGGGGCCACCATTTGGCATGGAGGTTAAGGCAGCTGGATCCCGCAAGGCTGACTGAACACTGCAAGTCCCAGATCAAGCAGCTTGAAAATACACCAGATGTGTGTGCCCATAATCCCAGAGAATGGGGGAGGGATTACAGTGCAGCCATGCCTCAGTGCCTGAGAGGTAATTTCTCACCCTCCCCTTCCTCTCTTCCCAGCCCATCAAGTGTGCTCTCCCTTTAGCAAACTGAAAACAAAAAAAAGCAACCAAAAATTAAATACTACAAATGCCCTCAAAAAAAAAAATAAAAAAAAAAAAAATAATGATGAACAGGACGATCCACAGAACTCTTTGAAGCTCTTATGAATATAAATAGAAAATTTAAGAAAGCATACAATGTCATCATGCTGACACAGGGGGTCCTAATACTGTAAAAATTTCAATATGCCTCTATAGTTAACCTTTAATTTCAATAGAATGCCACTAAACTACTGAGAAATGTCTATATACATTCTGTTGGAGGGGGTTAAATGACTAGTATTTTAAATTGCACTAAAATCTATCTTAAAAACAAAAGAAAAAGTACTTAAGTAAATTTTTTAAATAGGGGGGTGGAGAATATGAAAAGCACACACTATACCTACCAAACATCAGAGCTTATTTTTAAATTACAGTAATCGAGACAGCAAAGACTTTTTCTCTATGTGGGATGGTTGATCTTAAGCATGCAGGGAACAAGCTGACCCCAAGTTTCTCCAAATCCACATTTCTTTGCTCCAATTCTTACATGTCCTAAGACAGGGAACTACAGACACACCTTTGCAAGAGGGAAAGTATTTATTTTAAAGGAGCAGATTCCAAAGATAGCCCTAAGTCAATTATGAATTTACAACAGAATGAAGAACAGATTCTTTTTAAACAGTATTGAAACAGTTGGATAATTACTTGAGAAAATGAAAATAGATGCATTCAACAATATAATAAAAGACTCCAACTTTTAAAAATCAGTAAGTTTCATGATAAGATTACTTACAACCTTGAGTAAGGTCTTACAAACCAAAAACAAACAAAAAACCCTAAAGTCACAAAATTCAGTAATATATACTAACCGAATGCTAAAATATGGTAAACATTACCACATGTGAGCAAAATAAAGAGGGAGTAAGAACAACATACAGTCAAGAGTTAATTTCCCAATTTACAATATTCTCAGGTAAGTAAGTAAGAATAAGTTCAGGGCCAGCTAGTGGCCTAGTGGTTAAGGCAGGTGGATTTTATATGGCCTACAGCGCAGCTGGAGTCCCAGAACCAGTGGGTTAAAAAACATGCTGCGGGAACCAGTGGATGGCATAATGGTTACATTGCTGGATTCCCATTTGGTCAACCACGGTTCCAGTCCCAGACCCAACAGCTTGAAACTCACACCAAAGGCGTGTGTATGTGTGCCTAAAATCCGGAGAGGAAAATGAAAAAGAGATGTGGCATGACCATCCACCCTGGGGAGTAACTTCTCGCTTCCCATCTCTCAGACTCTCCTGAGAGTGCATGCACCCTATTAACAAAATCTCTTTAAACAAAACAAAAACATGCTAAGCATGTATGCATGCATGCTAAAAATCAGGACAGAAGAAAAATTGGGAGAAAGGACACTAGGTGATCATCTCCTGTGAAGGGAGATTGCTTTTCCACTTTCCCTCTTCCCCCACTCCCTCTAGCACACACAAGCATTCTGGCAAAAAAAAAAAAAAAAAGGAGGAACAAGCTGCTAGAGAAAATAATAATGGATATGAGCTATGTCAACAGGTAACTGACAGAAAATTATAATTTTAATATTATAAAGTCACTGAAGTATTACCCATTTGCTACAATTTTTTAAAAGATTTATTTAATTTTATTTATTATTTTATTTTGACCAGAGAGGAACAGAGTGAGTGAGAGAGAGAGAGAGTGAGTGAGTGAGTGAGTGAGAGAGAGAGAGAGAGAAAAACTGAGAAAGCAAGCAGTCAGGTCTAGGACCCAAACCAGGGTCAGCCATATGTGAGTCCAGTGCCCTTAACCACTATGCCACCCGCTGGCCCCTACAATTTTTTTCTTGAACTTCACATTTCTCCTCCAACTTTGTGTCTTATAGATCTTTTCCTAATCAAAATGAAAAACTATCTACCTCACTTTTTTTTTTAAACAATTGCATGAGGTACATGGCAATTTGGAGGTGGAAGCTTAAATGGCCTAAAACAAAAAGGTGCAGAGTATTCCTAATTTATGGATATATGTTTGAAGTTACAAAACAATACAGCTATGGAGACCAGCAGATAGCATAGCAATTACGTTGCTGGATTCCCACAAAGTCAACCATGTTTTGAATCCCAGACCTAGTACTTGAAATCCACACTGGGCACGTGTGCATACCCAAAATCCCAACAGGAAAATGGAGAAGGGATTGTGGCGTGTCTATTCACTCCACACTGTCTGGCTCTCTGGGAGCACAAATGCCCTATAGCAAAAATATCTCCAAAAACAAAAGAACAACAACAAAAGTACACCTGAAAATCTGACGGTTTTTCAACTTAATGGAGGTAGTCATGAAAAAAAGAAATTATATCAGTTAAGCAAAAACAAACATAATATGTATATGTCAGTTGAATAATTAATAACACAAATATAACCCCCACAAAAAAAATCACAACAGATGAACTGTTACCTCTGGCTGTAGAAAGTCATGTGACAACTCTGTATGAGGGCAAAATTTTATTTATAAACCTCCAGGGCTCAGTCTGGTGGCACAGTTCCTGGCAAGCTGAACTACAGTGCTGAAGGCTGCATGGCTGACTGCTGGTTCTGATTTCCCAGTTGGTCTAAAAATATCCCAGAGGCACATGGATATGCCCCAACATCCTGATACACAGGAAAGAGAATCATAGCATGACAGAACACTGTTGAGGGTTCTTCTCTCTCTCTTTCCTGCATATGTATGTGCTTTCTAGAATAAAACTTAAAAAATAAAAATTTTCAGATCCTCATTTTAGAGAAAAGGAAATTTAAACATACCATAACCCCAAATTTCCCTCCCTAAAACATTATGAATGATTGAAAACCTCTTCATTTGTCTGGAGCACTTTTCATTAAATCATTATAATCCCGATAAAATGCTTTTACTAATTCATTTAAACTCAAAAAGATTAAGTCTAGTAGCAATACTAATCAAGTGACATAGGGCACTTTCCATAAAAACGTATGTAAGGCAAAGTTCAAGAACTACCAAAATCTAGTTCACAACTGGAAAGACAGTTATCTTGTCCAGAATGTGAAGTCAACTTGAAATAAAATTTTCATATTTAAAACTCTGATTAACTTATTAGAGGCCTAGCATGAGCTATGGTTAGAAATCTGTACAGATGCATCTGTTCCTCAGAGAATATTCCTACTAAACTCATTAAGAGTTTATCCTCCTCTAGAGGCTGGCAGGTGACATTGTGGTTAAGGCACTGGACTTCCACATAACTGCAGTTCAAGTTCTGAACCTGACAACTTGCTTTTTCGCTTTCTCTCTTTCTGGTCAAATTAAAATAATAATAATAATAATAATAATAATAAAGAACCAGAAGTTAGCATAATGGCTATGTCGCTGGACTCCCATGTAGTCAACCACAGTTCGAGTCTGGGGCCCGGTGGCTTAAACTCACGCCAGGCGCATGTGCGTGTGTACCCAAGATCCCAAGAGGAGAACGGAAGAGAAGAGATTGAGGCATGGCCATCCTCCCGGGGGGGTGATTTCT